ACTCCACAATTAATTGTATTAGATCAGTGGTTGTAGCAGAGTATTTCGTCAGTATATCTAAAGTAGGTTAAGTAGTGTCCATTAATGGAAATCCAAATTCCATCCACTGTCAAAAATTCTGTGTACAAGCCCTGAAAAGTTATTGTGAGACATGTTGAAGAGGTTTGGGAAAAGTATATACAAAATGTGCATGTGTGTGGCGCACCCTGCCCAGTGGAAAAAAAAACACTCGCTTGTCACCTGCTGCTATTCACACTGTAGTCTGTCAATGTTAGACTTGCAATGAGTTCAGTGAAATGCTTTGGAACCCCCATCTCTGCAGTATCCTCCAAAGGTGATCATGTCAGACAGTACTGACTGTTTTAGAGTACTCCATGAAATACACAGTCAATGGATGATTATACTCCCTGCATTTTTCAATGAGGTGACAGAGGTGTGTGGTCTGATAATTTTTGCCTTGACCCTCTCTGAGCTTAGCACAATTGAAAAGCCGCAACAAGATGCAGGTTAACACGTCTGAAAGCTAAAAACGCAGCCAGCTAACATGGCTTCAGATGTATTAGCCTGTGTCTTGATCAGGCTTTCAGTCTGCTATGCTAACTCAATTGAGTTAACATGATTTAAAAACACACACATGCTTTTTGCCAATTAAGAGGGAAGACTTAAAGGAAGCTCCACTAAATAATCCTTATTTTATTTATGCAAATTCTAAGAGCCAAGGATTGCCTCCCCGATTCCTCTAAGATTTAAGGTACACCTCTACCCCGATATAACACGAATTCGGATAGAACACGGTAGAGCAGTGCTCCGGGGGGCGGGGCTGCGCGCTCCAGCGGATCAAAGCAAGTTCGATATAGTGCGGTTTCACCTATAACACGGTAAGATTTTTTGGCTCCCAAGGACAGCGTTATATCGGGGTAAAGGTGTATTTTGAGGACCATTATAATAGACTGCTTTCTCCTTTCTAGAATTACTGTCACGAATAGTTAGACAAGGTGAGGGAAATAGATATAACAAGTTTAAGATGGTGTTAATGTCTGAATTCCAAAAGAGAGAGAATATAGAGTACATTTAACATATAACAAAGGGGATTATTTAAAAAACAACCACCACCACCACACAAACACACCACAAGCAGATAACTTAGAGTCCACATACTGTATACAAAAGGAACAGTTTTAAAAAAAGAAGTGTCACTAGTCCTTACCTAGCAATAGAAAAACTAACTTCAAGTTCAGTTCTTTCCCCCGAAGATAAATCATATAACCCTTATGTAAACTAACTACAGCATCTTTAAAGAAAAATGTTGATCAACCAACCGAATGCCTAGACCTGCAATTTATGTAATAGATTACCTTAACAGTTCAAACATTTAACACCCCCCTTCAAGGTCCTCACTTTCAGGCTCTACTACTGCAAAATATTCCCCTTTGACTTCCCTCTTCAGCATGTATAAAATGCTGTGATTAAAAAATCCTTCCTAGCCTATCATTTTAACCATGCTCTCCCCCATATGAATCTCTCCACTGGCTTCCCCCTCTGCCACCATATCAAATTCAAGCTTCCTGTCACAGTTGTCAATGCCCTACATAAACACTCCATCCCTATTTATCTGCTATTGTCTTGCTTTGAATCAGCCCTCCACTTCTAGGATGGCAGATCCAGCCACCTATTTATCAACTGCTTAATTCCATACTGTCTTCTGTCATGAAATGTCCTTCCTGATTTTTAATTAAAAGACCCCTCATCCACACCACATTTAAGTCCCTTCCTAAGGCACATTTCTGTTGTATTGCATATTGAAAAGACTCATTGACTTATACCAACAGGAGAGTTAATGCTTCAACTTTATTTTGCCAGTACCTGATCCAGGGCCATCTTGGGCACTCAGCTAATATATTGTATCCCTTCCCTTTAATCATGGCCGCCCAAGGGGGGGAGCAAGTGGGGCAATTTACCCCAGGCCCCACAGGGGCCCCCATGAGAATATAGTATTCTATAGTATTGTAACTTTTTTTTATGGAAGGGGCCCCCAAAATTGCTTTGCCCCAGACCCCCTGAATCCCCTGGGCAGCCCTGCCTTTAATCTGTTTGTTTTTGACCAAGTACTCCACAAGACCAGGGCTGGGCCTTGTTTTTGTTTGAAAGATTCCAAGCACAACAGGGGCACTAACAAGAAATATTATGTTAATATTAGACATATTATTAACAATACTGGCACAGGAAATTCCCAGTTATGCAGTCCAACATTTAACTTTGACACAGGACATAAATTCAAAAACCTGAAACTAATGATTGTTTTATACACATATTATAAGTAGGGTTTGTGGTAGGACTGGTTGGAATTTTCCCAACTGAAGAGGTTTTCAATCAGAAAATGCTGATTCATTCAAACCAGAATTGTTCCTGAAAACCCCAGGCTGCCAGAGTTTGTGGCTCCAGGGCAGCCCTGCTATGCAGACTGCCTTGGAATTGGGAACCCAAGGGTTTCCAGGGTCATGGCTCCACAGGAAGGAGCTCAGAAACCCGGTGCACCAGGGCTAGAGCTAGGGTTCTCAGACTCCGTGCAGTGGAGCTGAGAAGTCCTTTGTTGGGCTTCCAGGGTTTGTGACAGGGGTTCTGAGGAAAAAATGGTATGCAGTGGTGTAATTACAGACTGTATCAAGATGTACATGCACAAGGAGGGGCCAAATTTAGGTTGCATAGTTAGGAAACTGTAAATTTGGAATTTTTTAACTTCTGAGTGCTTGACTTCTCAACTTTAATAATGTTCCTTTAACCTTTGTTTGTACTAATGTATTACAAAAACATAATAAATGGCCATTTTCACTAGAGGTTATTTTGCAAAGGGGTTATGAATAAGATATATTAACAAAAAGTGTCTTGCAGAAGTTTGTTTCAATCAAGTACTTCTTTGAAACTTTATGCCAGGTATTTAAATTTTTCTACTAAGTCATGTTCCTATAAATTAGCTCTCCTATGAGGTTCTGTGACAGTTCACTCCCTAAGGATTGTACAAGAGTAGATCTCCGTCTGAACACCACGAAGTGTGGGACATTGTATTACCCGTAGAACATTTAAGGTCACTTGGAGGATGACCCAGCACATGCTGTTCGTTTTAAGAACACTTTTAATGCAGATTTGACAAAACTCAAAGAAGGTACCAATGTGAGTAAGGTCACTGAGAATTCAGAGTACCAGAATTATTTTTGTAGTAGTATCTTGTTCTAGAAGGAAAATTTTAGTAGTTAAATGTTCAGCTAATGAAACAAAGTAATCTAACTCCACACATTTACTTAGGGGATAGTAATGTATTTCATGTTGCAGTAATATGTTCTATTATTCTATTAGCTTTAATCACTTTTTCACCATATTACATAGTCAGTGAAGAATTTGAAGGGAACAGTACAAGTTTATTAAACTTTATAAAAATTAATTTGAGAATATTTCTGTATTTGGAAAAATGTTTTCTTGAAGTTAAAATTAGAACTGGTCAAAACTTGGAAAGTTCCAGTGGATGGGAAATTTTCCTATTTCAAACTTTGCTATGAACCTAAAATTCTGTAAAATTTTAGTTTTGGAAGCACTGATACATGGCATTTCCAAAACAAAACATAGGCCCTGGGATCCAGCAGCTGCTGGCTGAAATGGACATATTCTTGTCAGTTTCATATTGTCCATCTCTGAAAAACAGCAGTGAAAATTAACAGGAAGGTCTGTATCAGAGCTGTGGCTCTCTAGAAAGCCAAGCTAGGATTTCCAGAGCTTTGAGGACCCCATCTTAGCAACAGGGAGCCTGCAAACTCCAGGGTCCCCACTGGAGTCTGCGTGGCAGGGATGCCCCACTGCTGCAGACCCTGGAAACCTCAACAACTTGCCAGGAAGTCAGGCAAGTTTCCTCATCAGAAGTTGGTTAACCCTGATATGTATCTGAACATTTTTGTTTAGACTAGTTAGCATTTTCTGACAAAAGCCTGTTTTTGTCAGAAGATTCTCAACAAAGTTTAGTTATGATATTTACTTTTCATATAAGGCAACCCAATTTGTTAGGATTTGCACCAGGTGCAGAAAGCCACCTTTGTTTTCCTTGGGCATCTGGGGACAGGCTGGACTGAAGACTACATGACTGTATTATTACTGTTCTTAGAGGAGGTCAATACAGGCACATTTTATATGCATTTTTGAAAGGTGCCTTTTAATTCTGAATTGTATATTTTTATGTACTGCCTAGGATTCAGGACAGGCACTTTACAATTTAAATAAAAGTCATCACGGCATCCAAAGAAAACAGATGGATCCATGAGTCTTATGTAAGTTAATTCAAAGTCAAGGACCAAACTTAGAAAGCCCTGATGCAGGGGCAGAAGAAAAAAAACAGGTACATGGATGTGTGGTTAGGAACAGCAACTGTGCCACCACATCAGAAAAAAGTGTTTTTGTATATGAATTTAACTGAACTTTTCTGTATTACTGTTACATTAATAAAGATGCATTGTTTCTTTAGAAACAATCTAAAGAAGTCCTAATTCTTCCATTGAAAAATATTCATTTAAATATGCATTTTCATCCTTCTTTTGTCATAGCATGGTAAGAATGTATCATGATCTTTCAGTCTAATATTATTTGTTCTAACATACCTATAGATTACAGGCAGATATACTGGCAATGAACTCAAGACATCAACACAACTCAAAAGGATTCTGGCTTTCATTCCTTTGCTTACTATTCCACTAACTTCCTTTGGCTTATATTACATTTCACCTTGACGAGAAAGAGGCGTACATGTCCTTCGTGGTTCAATTGCTGAACAAAAAGGCTCAATTTTCAGTTCTTCATGGGGAGTACATTCATGGCAAGACAGCACAACTTTTGTGTCCAAAGCTCAAGGTTAACCATGTAAATGACACTTGTACAGCAATGCTATGTATTGCAATTTGTTAAAAACAATACAGTTTGAATATTTGGCACAGAAATCTAAATATAAAGGGTTAAAACTTTACCTTTAGCTTCTTATTTAGTTTGCAGCAGTATCTGTATAACATCGCCAAGTTTAAAGGTCCAAAATCTGCATAGAAACTGTGGAGTGAGGAAAGATGAAAAAATATATTTAGAGAAGAACTAAACTATTTCAATGAACATCTGCTTCCAGCTCTTTAAACTGCAAGCCAGTTAGTAATTTTGCTATGTTCCACTTGGGATCCAGTGTAATCATGGCAAAAAAGTTTTCAGTGCTGTTGTAGTCATGTCAGTCTCAGGATATTAGAGAACAAGGTGTGTGAAGCAATATTTGACCAACGTCTGTTGGTGAGAGGAGAAGTTTTCAAGCTTACACAGAGCAAAAGAAGAGCTCTGTGGAAGCTTTAAAGCTTGTCTCTTTCACCAACAGAAGTTGCTCCCATAAAAGATATTACCTCACCCATTTTGTCTCTTCAGTATATACTGTATTGGGCAACTAAAAACATCTTTTATCCATTATTGGGGGCCTCTATATTTCAGTTGCCTAACACTTTCTATTATAAAATATTCTCAAAACTTCATTTTGATAAGTCCCAAGACCTCCATTGTTTGCAGCACACAAGCTCTCAGAGAAATCCTCTTTTTCCCATAAAATTCTGTTCAGTTTTTACTGAGATATTCACTGTTGAAAACAGCTACTTCCCTTCCCTCACCTTCATTCCTCAGGAAATTATGGCAGTCTGTCAAAACAACAACAGAATACAAAAACATTCTAAGACTGGGCCCATGCTGCCACTTAAGGAGCAACTGCTGCGGACACCACACCAAGAACTGCCAAAATAGCAGTGCAGGGTCACAGAAGAGCCGGGAAAGACTATCTGACTACCCTTCCAGACCCAGAACATGACACAAAGTGATTTTTCATCCTGTTGATAATAGCCCACTTTAACCAATTTGTCTCAACTCCCCACTGGGTAAGGCAACTCCCATCTTTTCATGTACTGCTATATATATCTTCCTACTGTATTTTCTACTCCATGCATCTGATGAAGTGGGTTTTAGCCCACAAAAGCTTATGTCCAAATAAATGTGTTAGTCTATAAGGTGCCACAAGTACTCCTTGTTGTTTTTAAAAGGCCCTCCCCTCACTCTGGTTGCACAACACAGGAAACAGGAGCTCCCCCAGCTCCTGAGCTGGGAAGAGAGAAGATATACCCAGGCCAGATGAGCCTCCCCTCCACCACCTCCCAGACCCAGCACATGGCCCCAGTAACCCATTCCAACCTCCTTAAGGGAAAACATCCTTCCTACTATCAGCTATTGTAGTTAGTGCTGTAGTTCAAGTGGCACTCACTGTCCTACAGTGCTGAAGATTAATGATGTAGACACCCTCATGGTGGGAGGTTGTAACAGTTACAAGTATAATTTCTCTTTTAGCTTAAAAAAACAACCAGTAGGAAATTATATTCATGAAAACCCTATGCTACAAGAACATTATTTAGGTTGCAAAGTCATGTACTTGAAATTTAGGAAGTGTCAAATTTACAGTTGCCTGGGCAACCTTAATTCTGGCCTCCTTGCTTATCTATGTGCTGATGGGAGCTCTCTCTCTTCTCTAGAAGGGGGAGAAACGTGCCATTCCATTCATTATTAATTTCAGCATATTCCTCTGCTGACAACATTCTGAGAGAGGGAGAGAGAACAGAAAGAGGAGATGGGTTTAAAGTTGGCTTTCCCACATGGAGGCAGAGGGAAGGGAAAGAAGAAGGGAGAAGGATCTAGTACAATGACACTAATTTGGTATATATGTTGGCCTGCTTTTTAAAAAATTGGGGGGTATAAAAGGGTCACTGGTCATCTTTTTCGCAAAGGTTCTTTTGAGACTTTGTTGCTTCATTTGACATTTTTGCTTCTTTTGTTTAAAAAGTTCCCCCTTACTAACGTATGGAAGTTTCTTTATTCCTAATCAGAAAAGGGGTGAGGGAGGTGTCTCAGGGACAGGGAAAGAAACTCTCCTCAACCCCCTATCCTCCCTCCCCGCAAAAACCCAACCACCTAGGATATTTCTTAGTGAAGTTCATGACAAACAAGTGCTTAGGGACTTCATGCTTTAGGACAATGACTCCCAAACTGTGGTCTACATACTAGTTGCTGGTGGCCCCTAGAAAACTGACCAATCAGTGTTAGCTCTCCTTATTTCCAGCCACTTCTACAGGTGTCATTTTCTCATTACAAATTGGACCTAGGTGCCTCTTTGTAAAAACATCTGGGAGCAAAGGAGTTTCCTACCTGCCTCTGATGCTTAAAAGCACGAAAGAAAACAGGAGCTACTCACTACAAGAACCAACCACTTACCAAGAGAGATAGGGGAGGGGTCAGGGAGAGGAAGGGGTAGAAGAACCAGACATTAGAAAAACATATGGAGAGAGAAAGAAACAGGATGCAAGGGACAGAAGAACAGAAGTGGCCAATGTCATTAACATACTTAGAGCATTTAATACATTAAATAATTGTCTATTATCATAGAACCATAGAATATCAGGGTTGGAAGGGACCTCAAGAGGTCATCTAGTCCAACACCCTGCTCAAAGCAGGACCAACTCCCA